TCTCTCTCTCTCTCTCTCTCTCTCTCTCTCTCTCTCTCTCTCTCTCTCTCTCTCTCTCTCTCTACTGTAGGATTAAACCCTCTTAATCAATTATTTGTTTATGTAATCATATAGATTTCTCCTAGGGCAAAAAATCATATTTCCATACTATATTAGTGGTATAAATAGTAAATAGAATTATAAGGCAGCTCATCTCTGAAATAAGTATTAGGGAAAAGTTTAGTATGTAGCAAGTTAAATAGAAGAGGATCTTATCAACTTATGCCCCATATTTTCTTAGGTGATGACATCGATGAAATCTTCAGTGTAATTAAAAAACCACTCCTCATTAGGAAATAATAAATAAATAAATAAATAAATAACATGATGCAATAACCCATGCCAAGAGAAACAAAAAATAAGTAGCCAGGTCATTACTAATTACAGGTAGATTGAAAACACATTGTGCTACCTACCATATGCTGACAATCAAGGTGCAAAATAAAATTGGGAATTGGGAAAACTTCTTGGACATAGCCAATGTAGCATGCACTTTGAGTATAAAAAATTATCATCAAAAACTAATTCCTTAGTAAGCACTCCACTTGTAAACTCTGCCGCTAGAATGCCAAGAAGCATAATTTTCTAGTTTAAGGGGGAAAACATTCTGACGGCTCTTCGGAAACAAAATTGAGGGAGAGGTCCTCCTCCCTTTTATCACTTTGTACAGCCTGTGACTGCATAGCTTCTCATATTAATTAACATCCTTCACCGGCTTTCATTCCAAACCTTGACACTGCATGTAAATCAGATCCAGGTTCCTTAAGAACAATCAGATGTCCAAGTTCCTCCTGGAACCTGGTGGACGCTTTCCTTTGTGAAGGACCTTGAGGGACTGGGAGCAAAAATGACTCACTTCTGTTTATGAGCAAGCAAATTAAACCTTGCCACCATCAGCCCCCAGTGGCCGAAGAGAGACGAAGGGTCACCTTCGTTATAAATGTACTCTGCTTACCCAAAGGAGGGAAAGAATCATAGTCACCGAAAGGGGAAAACAGGCCCTAACATTAACGGTTTTAATTTTTCTGACTGATTAAACATTTCTGCTGTCACTTGGCTGTCTACACAGGTGATTTTTAGGCAGGTAGGATGCAATCTTTTAATGTGAACATTTCCTTGATTTTCTTTGGTACCAATAAACTGGAATAATT